AGCCGGGATAGCGGAAAAAGTCCCCACGCGCTCAGGGAGATTCATTATCTCTGCTTCAGCAGCGCCGCATTTGAGCTTGTTCATGCAGTCCCCAGCCAAAGGTCTGCAATGTTCCGGGGCTAAGGTGGAGAGGAAATTATTATTGGCCATTTGCAACGAGGGCTGCTCGGCTGGCGCGCAGCCAGGCTTGCCGAGCCGCTGGGACTCGTTCCGATGGTGCAAACTCCCGCCGCCGCCGCTCCTGCCGGCGGCGTGCAGAGAAGAGGCGGGCGAAGAAGCCGACGGCGGCGGCGGCGCTGCGACCGACGAGGCGGCGGCGACGGCAGCTGCTTTCCGGGCCACGCCGCCAGCTGCGGCGGCCGCAGGGTTAGGCCCGCCGACGCCCGCGCCCCCGCCTCCTGCGCCGCTGCCCCACAGCATGGCGGTGGCGGCGGCCGCCGTGGCCGTGTCGCAGTTCCACGGGGACATGCCGATGCGTGCGGCGGCGGCGGCGGCAGCGGTTGGGAAGATGGGGGTGGTGATGCGCGCGATCTTGGCTGCCTGCGGGAAGGCCCCGCCGTTGGTCTTGTAGAAGGTGGCGAAGGAGCGGTAGCGCTCCATTTCCGAGTTGTAATCCACAAGGCTGTTGAGGGCGCCGTCGGGCAGGTGGTTCTCCTTGGGCAACCCCGGCGCCTCGGGGTTGGGCCCCGTCTCCACGCACACATTGGTGTTCATAGTGCCCAAGGGGTGCGGGTGGGTTTGGGGCAACAGGGTGGAAGGGAAGGAGGAAGAGGAGGAGAGGAAAGGGGGTCCGGGGAGGGCCAGGGGAGGGAAGGGCAGGGCCGGGAGGAGGGCCACTGGAGCCGTCGGGGGGGCGGAGACGGGGGCTGGGTGGCCGGAGGGGTCGAAGGGAGGGGAAGGGAAGGGGGGGAAGCGGTATCCTCTAATCCTCTTGAGGGGGCATCTCTCCAGACGGCGAAGTCTCAGGCAGCCGGCTCTTCCTTGGCATTCTCAAGCCCGGGCACCGTCGCCACTGAAATAAAGAGAGTCATTTCGGAAAAGGTCTACGCCAAAGGGGGGGGGAGGGTGGTGGGAGGAGGAGGGCCGGGGAGAGGGCGGGGAACCCGCTGCGTTTGTGTGCTTTTGTTTTGGTTCGGTTAAAAAAAGATCCACAAGACACGCAGAGAAGAGGCGTACATCAGTCATTGCAACTCATTTGCATAACAATCAATAAAGACATGATCCGGCCACCGCAGCCTCCTCCCCTTCCCCCTCCCCTCCCCCCGCGGGCGGGCTACCCTCTCTTGCCCGCTTTAATAGCTGAGAATAGCGGGGGAGGGGAAGAGAAGGGAGGGAAGAGCCGACAAATGCCAAGGGAGAAAGGGCAATTGGAGGGCTAAACACATGCAAATGATGGGTAGCGAGAGGCTTCAAATCCTCTAACCGGAGGACATCTGAACGTTAAGGAAGGTGGGAACAAGCCGGATTGCCGGGGAGAAAAGGAGGAAACTATCAAATTGAGTACAGGAGAGGGAAAACGAGTATTCTCGAGGTGTTAAAAATAACAAAAGTATGGCAAGGCTCCACTGTGCCCCTCGGAGCCTACCCTCCTCCTCAGTGGGGTATAGGTGCACAAAATAACTGCAAATCTTGATGTATTGAAAGCTGCAGAGATTTGTTAACTGCCGCTTTGTCCTTTGGGTCTGGATTTCGGCAGAATTGGTGTTGGAGGTTTCAAAGGCAAGGCTCTTGGTGAAGGTGATGCCCTGCCTAGCCAGAAATTAAGAGCCAGAGTAAATGGGGCCAGAGAATAGATAGGAAAACAGTTTCCCAAGGGCCAATCTCCTGCCTTCCAACTAAAACCTGATGGCTTCTAAACAGGTTTAATCCCCAGTCAGGAAGACTGAAGACAACAGGCACTGTGTTCTCTGCACAGGTCCATACCTGTGGATGTATCTGACGAATAAATTTATATATTTATGACAGACTTAAACAGGGTCAGCAAAGTATGCTAAGTTCTGTTAGCTTTAACCTCAATTTTTATGGCACTGTGTGTTGTGTGAACCCAACCATTTGAGTAATTTATGGGTTAATTTATCAATCAAGTTAAGCATTGAACCCTGGCTTATATGTTCATTCAAAAATATGTATATGCCACCTTATAGAGACTGGAAGTGCTGTTCTTAAGGTTTTTGAAGGATGAACATTACCTGTTCAGTATAATACAACAATCTATAGGCTGGAGGATATTATGGAGTTTATCACTCCCAAGTCATACTTAAAATAATGGTTGGGAGGATTTTAGTTTGCAGATCAGACGGAGTTGCACTATTTATAAAGTAAAAGAAAGCATTAACCCAGTTGAATACTATATATATATATATATAGTATTTAATTGTAAATTAAATGCAGAGACAATCTGGAGGGCCTAAAACAGTTTTCACACCATTCCTACAGGTGAAAAGTACTTATCAATTATACTAATTACTATCATAATTAGACCAATGAACTATTTCTAACCCAACCTACCAAAAGCAGACAGACATCTAGCTGAACCATACTAAAAACTATGGTTGGGGAAATTGATCAAGAGGAAAGGAAAGCAAACCTAAAAAAAACACACCTCAGTCTTGTTAGACTAGGAGGTCAGTCTGCACCCTTGAATGCTAAAAGTCTTAAATGACAACACAGCCACCTTTGCATTTTCACGGCAAGAAAAGAAAAAGAAATGAAAAAAACCATTGCTCCCTGGAGGGATTTGGTAGCAAAGCCTACTATTCCCACACACAAATACGATTGCAGGTCACCATGTATAATAGAATACTTAAAAAAAACAACACTATTTTAAAGGAAACTATAGCAACTACTTGAAAGAAGTCGCTTTGTTGGATATGGGTAGGCAAAGCACTAGATTGGTAAAAGGTTCTAATGTTGAATATAAAAGGGGCAGGCTGTGGAGACTGCACGTTCATGCCCTATTTTTCACAGCCTTAAAGTGGCTTTGCTTGCACAAACCCTTTCCTATCATTCCAACCTCTTCTCTCCCCCAACAGCCCCCCCATCTCTTTGCAAGGTTTATGGCTACCAGAAACAAGGGGGGGAAATATAATGGTGCCACCAACCATGTCATTATTGTTTAATCGATATTATATGTCGAGCGCAAGAGAAGTCTAAAGCGCAGCTATTGATTTTTTTTTCAATATTAAAACTATAGCCGGATTAAAAAGAAAATTAAAAGCAGCTCAGAATCCACGATTTTCTCACTGTTTAAATCAATGTGACTGTTCATGTTCAATACTGCATTTCTGTTCTGCTACAGACAGAGAGATCAAAGGTCATATTTAACATTCAGGAGGAGGGGCTGGTGCAGATTAATTAATAAATTAATAGAGCAGCGCCTTTTATTGCTGAAGCTTAGCATTCATCTACTTTAACAATCCCAGCGGTCCAAGAGGCGGAAAAGAGGGAGCGAAAGAGCGCGCATGAAGGGGGGAAGGGAGAAGAGAGAAAGGAAGAAAGAAAGATCCAAAAACAATCACTTACCAGTCTCTGTATTTTTGGGGGGACTGGGGGCTTGGATTTGCAGACGTTTAACCCGCCTGTTTGTCTTTATTTAGTTGCACATCACTCCCTAACACAAAGGAGAGGGTAAAAAAAAAAACAAAAGAAAAATATCCCGAGGTGTCTTTCTTTGGCCGCTCCTCAATTACAACTTTGATACTTGTAAACAAACTGTACAGGGCGGTGGTGCGAGGTGGGGGTGGGGAGGCTTGGTGGGAAAGAAATAAAGACTCGGATCCACTAAGCAAATACCTGTAAGTGCCTCTTTTTTCTGGTTGCAGAGAAAGGAGGAGGGAGGGGAGGGGGAAGAGGAAAGAGCAGGCACTGAATGTGTGTGTGCGTGTGTGTGTGTGCATGAATGTGTGAGAGCGCTTGGCGGCGGCGGTGCTCGGTGGTCTCTCCCTGCGCGCTGCGCTCCGTCCGTCTCTCCCGTCGCTGTGTGCGATGGAGAGAGGGTGGCAGCCGGGGGACTCACTCTCCCCCTCGCTGTTTGTGCGTGCCTGCGTGTGTGTGGTTACCAGGAGGAGGGGAAGGAAGCGAGGAGGCGGAGGGGAAGGGGGGCGACGAGTGAGAAGGCTCCGCAGCGTCGAGGAGGTGAGGAGGATGCGGGGATGTGGACACCTACTGATGATTGGCTGCAAATCACACCGGGAACAAGAGGCGCGCACGGGCCATTGCTTCTCTTTTCCCCCACAAATCCCCTCTCCTCCCCTCCTCTCTTTTCCTCTCCTCCTCCGACGCAGCGAGCGGCCACATTTCGCTGCCCCTCCTCTTTCGGCCGGGAGAGGGTGGGGAGATAAAGCTGCCTGGAGGCTCATTTGTAAGGAGCAGCCACTTGCCGCGCACTCCAGCCTCTTGATTCCCCATTCACTTGCCTCCGTGCGTGCGTGCGGAAAGCGCAAGGGAAGCCGGGGCGGGGAAGGGAGAGGAGGAGGAGAAAGGGTGTGCTCCTGTCGGCGGCTGGGTGGCCGCCGAGGGCAGACTTGGGCGGGAGAGGCGAGAACCCCCGACCCCGGAGAGCGGGGAGGTCCTTGTAGCTCCGTGAAGGATGCTTTCAACGAGCGCCCTCTTCGCCTCGCTCCCAAGCTTTCCCCCCCTCGCTCGCTCCCCGCGCAACTATTTGCTGGAGGCCTCCGGGAAGGAGAAGTGGTGCCTCTTCAGGAGACCAGGAGAGGTCGGTGCGCGGAGTCTTCCCCCGCGTCTTCTTCAGAAAAGCTCTCGACAACCCCCGAATTCCAGACGTGGAAAAGGAAAGGAGCGGGAAGCTAGCAGGAACAGAAGATCCCCGGCGGGCGCTTTGTGTGCCAAAGGCGTATTTTGAGACGCCTGCTTCTCCCGCGGTGCTTCACACCCGGAGAGAAGGGAAAGCGCTACCTAAACGCGGAAAGAGTTTTTGCTGGTTTTGTCGCTGTCATTCATCTTGCAGTTGAACTACAAAAGCTAAACAAGTCGTCTCGCGGCGAGTTATTGGGAAGCGAAAGTTGTGAAAGTGATAGTAACCCTTGCTAAGGCAAAGGTAGCCAAGTTTATTAGCTAATAGCAGCCCCACGCTTATGTTAGCAATTCAAAGATGCGTGTTGATCTCTTCAAATGAGGTTGGCTGTTTTCATTGTTTCACTAGACCCAAGTAAAGTTCTTTATTTTAATTTTGAGAAGGATTAGGAATATGATTACACATTTAGATGACCTTAACTGATAACTAAACGCTAATCAGAATCAGACCTGCTTAGTATATGGATGAAGAACTCCAGAAAATATTAAAGACTGTAGGCTAGGAAGGGAGCTGAAAAAAAATTCAAAAGTCCATGGCAAACTGTATTGGGAAGTCATCAGCAGTCAGATTGCCTAGGAGGTTTTAGCTGGACTTAAATGAAAATTAAAGTGATGTACTAGCCAGTTACTTCTGTTTTAAAAAAAATATTGGGAAAGACAAAAACAAGCTGATTTCAGAATTGCATAGAATAATCTTTGTACTACTAAAACTATTGTGCCTGTAACCTTCAGTTGGACAACATTGGAAGATAATATGGAGCATAAATTATTGAAGCAATGTAACTCAAAGGGACTAACTTACAGAATACCTGGACCCTTGATTCCCATGGGAATGAAATTTGGGAAAGTTGTGGCTATTTCCGCACCATCTCCCCTGCACTTCATTGAAACCTGTAGGTTGTGTGGAGTTTCCACCTCCCTATTGCCCTTGTACCTATACAACTGGCAGCAACTTCACACCAGTTGTTTTTGCAAAAGTATGGGCACTGCAGCACTGCTGAAATCAGCTATGGTCATGTTATGATTTCTGATACTTCCTGCCAGTTTTCCAAAAGCAAAAGGAATGTGGAAGCCGGCAGGAAATTGGAAGTCACTACTCTGACCACTGATTCTTGTTTGTGGTCTTTTTGTTCTCTGTTTAGATAAGGAAATATCTCTGAAAAGATGATCCAATAAGTTGCAGGTTGTCTGGTATCATTCTAATTTCACTTAAAAGTGCAAAGTATCATGCAATAATAGTCAAAATGATTGTTACAGGCCACACTAGCTATGTCCATACACGTAGTAGTAACACTCATGGAATCACTAGGTTGTAGTTTAGGGGAAGGGGGGAAGGGGAGTGATTTTTTTTCCCCAGGTTCCCATGGACTTCCATTATTTTAATTCCCAGACTTCAAGCCAGCTTCCTTCACTATGTGAAGATGCTGCTTTTGAGTTGCTAACCTAAAATTATGCTCTTAATCTTAGCCCTCTCTTGTAAGACCTTGTTCCTGCTCAAGGTCCCAGGCTCATCTCTTTCTTATTATCTTTCTCCTTCTCTTATCCTGAACTTATAATTTAGCTATATTTTCTTTCCTCATAATAGTTTTCCTTTCGTTTCTAGATTTCAGAATGAAACTGTCCTAAAATGAACAAGCCATCTACAGATTTAATTTCTGTGATTCTCTGATTCCTCAGATCCCTTTTTCTCGTTCATGTTCTAGCCCCAACTCCACTCTTCCACTTTGTCCTGAAATCCTTCCCCATAACCCCCCATTAAACCTGCCTTCCCATGCTTGTCATTTCTCACCCCATTCTCCATCACTGTCTCATTATCTTCCTTTCCCAGGCACATGCATTTCTCTTGGCCAGGTTTCATTAGAAGTGCAGTTCTGCAGACCTTAGCAATTACTCTCGAAGTCTACCATGATTACTCAGACTTCCGGTTTTTGATATACTCAGCCTATTTGGTTTGCCTTTTGGGATGTTAATCAACAGTCACGAGATCGTCCATTCTTTCACTATAAAGTACAGAAACCAGGCAACAAGGTGGGAAGAAAAGTTATAAGTTATAAAGATAGTCCTCAACTTAAAAGACTTCATTTAGTGACCATTCAAAGTTACAATGGCACTGAAAAAAGTGATTTATGAAGTTTTTCACACTTATGACCATTGCAGCATCCCCAGGGTCACGTGATCAAAACTCGGATGCTTGGCAAGTGACTCATATTTATGACATGTGATCGCCTTTTGTGACCTGACAAGCAAAATCAATAGGGAAATCAAATTATTTAATAAATGTGTTACTAATTTAACAATTGCAGTGATTCACTTAACAACTGTGGTAAAAAAGGTCATAAAATGGGGCAAAACTCACTTAACATACGCCTCATTTAGCAATAGAAATTTGGGGCTCAGTTGAGGACATCTTGTGCTGTGCTCTCAATGTGCTTCTCTCTATCTCAGCTGGTGGGTTGATCTTTAAGATCTTACCTTTAATGGGGAAAAATATTATGATGCTCTGTTCTATGTCTCATTTTACTTCTGCTATATATTATTTAAATAGTAATTTTATTAAACATTACAATTAAAAATATAAAAATGAATACTAACTAAAAAAGAAAAGATAGAAAGTATGGAAAAGAAAAAAATATAGTACGAAAGAGATATATAAAGAAATTACTTTCCCCTTCATCACAGCAAGGATAAACAATTTTGGTAATGTCTCATTTCTTAAGATACAACAAATGATCTCTTTTTCCCATATGCATCTCTTATCAGTAAACAAATCTTTAGAGCCTCATCCTGATTAGCAAAATCCATTAAGGATTATCAGAGACAACAAGGTATCTATTTTAACTTTGATCAAATAAACTTTATATTCCTTCCTTTTAACAATCTTGATCTTTAAATCTTTTAATTAATGTCCTTGAACTTACGTCCTTCAAGTAATGTCCTAGAATTTGATTTCTTTTCATTTTTTCCTTGCCTCTTTTCACACAATTCTTCAAAACTTGAATAAGTCTCTTTTGTAAATCCAATGTAGGAAAGTAATCCAGGTCACTCTTTTGGTTTGTTATTTGTATACCTTTTTAATCATTAAGACATCAGTTAGTTTCATTTGTATATGCAGTGTAACATCTTTTTCCATACCCTTATTGTAGCCTGTAATTTTTAAATCCACTTTCAGATCAGTCTCAGTCTTGTCTAATATACCTTGTTCTTTTCCTTAATACAGACATGTCAAACACAAGGTCCGGCCTGCGAAATGGTTTCATATGGCCCGCAAAGCCATCCTGGAAACAGTAAGGGAATGGCCCCCGCTGCCTTGGCCCTCCAATGGACCATGTGAGGCTCCTCCAGTGGACCATGCCTTGACACTTGCCCTGGTCCCATCCCCTTCTGCCAGAGACCCTCAGATCTGTCCCACTCCTGCACAGGCCCCCACAGGCACCCTTGACGCGAACGATTTAGAGCTGGCCATGCCCACCGAGTAGGCCACACCCACTCCATCCATGCCCACCCAGTAGGCTGCACCCATCCTGGCCAAACACACACCCCCGAGGGCAACCGCAATGCTGATGTGGCCCTCAATGAAATTAAATTTGACACCCCTGCCTTAATATTTTTTAAACACATTTTGTCTATAATGGCAGATGCTCTATTAACTTGTCAGTCCATTGTTCAAAATATCCTTTGGTATGTGTAATGTTAAAAGTATTCTCTTCCATTTTATACTACTAAGTCAATTTTAAATGTTCTCTTTTAATTTTATTTTTAATTCCTTTTGTATCCCTTCAATGTTCCATTCTATCATGTTTTTTTTTAAAGAATTCAAAACAAAAATCATTTTCCCGTTGGAAGGATTTTTATATTTCATACCATGCTCTTATTGCAAATCCATCTGGATTTTTAGGCCAATCAACATTCTCTTCATCCTTTTACTGTTTGTTGTTGTTTTGTTTTGTTTTTGAAAAACACCTTTTTAAAAATCTCTAAACTTGTATTTAAAACATCTTTGGCCAAAGATAGAAGGAAACACAGCTGGTACTGTAAGACCTGTTGATCCAAAGGTTCCTAATAGCTGAAAAGCCATTAACAAGCAACTTCCAGAAATGACTATAAAAGGAAATATGCAAACCCAATGTCCATAAAGGTGCCAATTGCCATTTAAGTGAAAATGGCTTGCCCTTGTCTCCCAGCGTTCTTAACCCGCTGGAGACCATTGTCTTGCAGTTTCCTTGCAAGAAGCAACTGTCTGAAACAGCTGTGGGAGATCTTGAGTTCTCTCTTTATCTGGAGAGGAATTAGAAAGAACCAGCTCTTCATTCTGCTGTGGTTGTCGGCTTTGCTTTTAGAGATCTTCAGTTCCTCATTTCTTCTCCAGCACTCCACTTCTGCCACACTTTGAGAAACTTATTTATTCATACAAGTTATAGCCCACTTTCCTGCAATGTTAGCTGGCCTGGGCTTTGTTTGCTTTTAATCAGGAATCAGCAGACCATCATCACCCTGTTGGCAGCCCTCCAGCTTTCTGAAATTATACTACCAGAAATTGTGATTTTCATCTATGCTGTTCTCTTTCCCAAAATAGGGGTAAGAATAAAGGCAAGAAATGCCTGAAAAGCAAGCCACCAAAGTTCAGCCTTATAAGAGGCAACACCTAGGTGGCTAAGCAAAGTCAGAAGGAGGGGAGGGAGGGAGGGAGGGAGGGAGGGAGGGAGGGAGGGAGGGAGGGAAGGAAGGAAGGAAGGAAGGAAGGAAGGAAGGAAGGAAGGAAGGAAGGAAGGAAGGAAGGAAGGAAGGAAGGAAGGAAGGACAAACTACTTCAATTGGATGCAGGAAACTGACTTCAATTAGAAGGCATGCTTACCTCTTGAGTTAAACATTTTGCATCTAAATTAACCTTTTGTTATTCCTTATGGCACATGACTTAGAGAGAAGGGCCAGAAGCTGCAGGGCTCAAGCTCATTAAAGTAACAATCAGATGCTTCCTTACCAAGATTAAATGTTCCCATCTGGTAAGAATACCTTGAGAGAGCCTGTAATAACCTCTCTCCTCATAGGTGGTTAGGAAGATACGAACAAGAATGCAGACCTCCTTGTGGTCCTTTAATGGAACTCTACAAGTGTTCTGTGCTGTCTCTTTTGTAGTATTCAGAAGACGTTCAAAACAATTCCATTTTTCATTATTTTAAAACTGAAAATACAGTTTTTTGATGCACATCTTGGGAATGGTTCTTTTGAATGTCTATGGAGATTCTCAGTCATCCAAGTCATAGTTATCCCAAAGATGCTTTTTTAATGAGACAACTGGACTTTCTTGTTTTTCTTTGAAGATGTTTCGCTTCTCATCCAAGAAGCTAGTTCAGCTCTGAAGAAGCTTCTTGGATTAGAAGCAAAACATCTTCAAAGCAAAACAAGAAAGTCCAGTTGCCTCATGAAAAAAGCATCTTGGAGTTCTTTTGAGCATTAGGATTTTAATTTTTTGTTTTATGTTTTTGTTTTTCTTTGGTTATACCATCCACAGTCTGTGGATTGGAGCAAGTTGCTATAGGCAAATGTCAGATTAGATAACGCCATATAAACCTTTTGAGTCCAAATAGCTTCTTCTGCTGGAATGTTAGAACTAGACTTATTTTCAAAACACTTTTATCCATGATAGGAATTTTTTTTTTCCTGACTATTCTCAGGAGTGTGTGCCTGATGTTCTCCAATGCTTCAGTAGGAATTTTATTTATTTATTTATTTATTTATTTATGAGACTTATATACCGCTTTAAGTGCAAGCACTCTCTAAGCGGTGTACACCAGTAAGCAATGTATATATATATTTACATTGCCCCCAACAATCTGGGTCCTCATTTTACCTACCTCGGAAGGATGGAAGGCTGAGTCAACCTTGAGCCGGTGAGATTTGAACCGCTGACCTGCTGAACACAGTCAGCTAAAGTGGCCTGCAGTACTGCACTCTAAGTGCTGCGAATCCTGCCCCCCTGCATGCAAGTCTCACAAAGTTGGTAATTTCTTTTTCCCCCTGAAGTATTTTGGCTCTATTAATTCTATTCCAAATCTTCATGGATAATTGTTATAATAGTTTGAATGCAGTTGATCAGGTACTTAGAAATTACTAGATGACCCATGATCCATTGGCTCATCCTTTCAGAGATATTTTCTTAATTAAACAGAAACAGACAGACCACAGCCGAGCAAAAAGCAGTGGGAGTAGGACTGACTTCAGTCCGATGACTTCGTTTGTGGGAGTGAGCATCAGAAGCATGATCACGTGACTGTGGCTGACAGGCAGTGCTAGAGTGGCCACAAGTTTGCAAATGCAACTTGTGTGAATAATTTTGAAATTTCAATGCCACAAGAGTAATGGGTTTCAATGCCACAAGAGTAATGGGTTTTTGTACGCACTTAAGTTAGTACATTTTAGGTACCTTGATTCAAAAATTGTTGTTCTATGAGGCACTATTTTGGTTAATTGATGCCTACAGACAGACAGGAGAATATTAGTATATAGATAGGGATGCTGGGGACCAAATCATGTTCTCCATCCCCTATCCCTATTCCCATGGCTAATTATGTAATTTAGCCTGTACTGTAATCATTTGCACATTTTCTGGGAGTAAACCCTCTTAAACAATGAGACATTTGTATAAATATGTGCAAGATTGCTCTGGTGGTCACTCTGTATGGAACTGCACAATTCATGTTGCTCTCATGTGCAGCAGACATTTATAGATCAATTTTCTATTCAGACAAAGGATTAAAAAAACGCCGCTTAAGCACATATATAATGCTTGAGGATAGTCAGGTTTAAATCCCCATTCTGCAATAACCTATGCTAGCTTAACTTGTGCTGGGAAGAAGGAAAGAACCTCACACTATCCTAATCTGTTTGGAAGAGATAGTTTTGAATGTAGGGAAATAGCAAAAATAATGTGAAAATGAAGTATTCTTTGTATTTATTGTGCATTGATTCAAAATATATTTTGTCATCAGTACCACAGGTGTTTAGTAGAGGACATTTAAATTGAAGAGGACAACAAGCTTATTAACTCCTATGCTGCACTCTCACTAAAAAAAAGCAAGAAAAAATGCACAAACACTGAAAAATTCACTGCTGGCAGCCTCTTCTTCCACCAGCATTTTCTCATTGTTAAATTCACTGAGCCCAAAGAAGCTAGACCTGGCATGAACTAGAGCCCTCTTCTGATCATAATGATTGACTACTGTTGTTAAAGTTGCTGGAAAATTTGACAGGTCTAGAATCATTCTCCAAAGAGCAAGCATTGCAAGAAAGGAGAGACTCATTAACAACTTTCCTTTGCAAGCATTTGTTAGTAAATTGCTTCATGCTACCAGATTCAACTTTGAAGCTTGCTGAGAAGCAAAAATTAGAACTGGAACTACCATCAAAATAACACTCTCCCTCTCTGAAGATAACAAAAGTGGAACAGAATGCAAAGACTGATCCTACATCTTGTCAACCCCATGCAAATACTAGAGCTATCTGGAACTGGTGGCTGTGTAGGACTGTGTAGATCCAGCAAAGAATAATGTCAAAGAATGTCAAGGAGAGAAAGTGGCTGGAGTCAAGAAAGAGGAGAACAACATGGGAACAAAAAGCATGTTCAATAAAACATTCTCTGAAGTTAGAAAGTCCCTCATTGGAAGCAACTCATTGGATGTATCTATTATCAAAGGAAATCCACAATCTATTCCACAAGAACATAACAGCTGAAGAAGGTCTATTGGTGCCAAGAAAGAAGAACTGTTTTCAGAAAAAAGAGATGGTAGATCTCCAGATTTTAGGAGATTGATATTTATTTTCACCTCACTATCTTTGCTTGTTATCCCTGGGACACTACAGGAGGGAGAGCTAGACCAAAAAATCCAGAATTACCAGTCTTATCATTTTAACATCATGTTTTTACAGGAAATGGATGAAAAAATAACTAATACTCAATAGATATGCAGTTTCACTAAATGTAATAGGGTCTTTGGGTTGGGAGGACAGCCAAGTAGTTACCTTTTTTGCCACTTTCAGCAACAACCGATTTAAATACAACTGTATTTAAAAGAAGGACGTAAGTGCAGGTTTTGCAGGAGATGGGTTCATGCTCATTCATTTGATGAATAAAATGTAAGTCATTAAATAATTCATTTATTTATTTGAAAGGAAAAAATCTTTATCTTTGAGGAAAGAAGTGAACTATAATGAAAACTGATATATTCTGTAAAATATTTTTTTAAAAGTGTTAAGCATATATTTTAAAAAGTTTGAGTTCCTTTCTTGCTTTGTCAGTTTTAAAATCTATTTACTATTGATATTTCTATGCCACTATACTCCAGACAGCTGTGAGTGACATATGACAAGTAAATATGAGAAAAACAGTAAAAAAAATGTACATTAACATAGCACTAAATAGCAGGAGTGATTTTTTTTAAAAATCTAACATTTCCACAAATATGCTCTCTTAGAGCCAAGTTTTTATTTCTTTGCAAAATTCATTAGGGAGGAAATAGTTATTATATGTGAGGAGAAATTGTACCATAGGAGAAGCGTATAACTGAGAAGACTTTTATGACACTCCTTCATTGATCTTTAATGGGACTTCTTATCCAACAGAGCCTCTTATTGGACAAGCAGACAGCCATTCCCTGAGTAATGTGGATTTTAAAAGTGATAAGCAACATCTTGAATTGCACCCAGAATTTGACTGGAAGCCAGTGGAATTCTCAAAATAGAGATGTTACGCAATTAAATCACCACCCTACCTGAATCACTGCAAACTGAACCAGTTTAAGCTACATGGTCTTCAGGAACAGCTCTGTGTAAACAAATTGCAATAGTCTGATGGGGGGGGAGGAGGTGATGGGGGCATGCATGACTATGCCCAATGCCTCTGATTCAGGAAGAGTTGCAATTGGCACCTGAGATGTAATTGTGCAAAGGCTCTCCTGCCTATAATCTTAATTCTGCTGCTCAAGTAGAAGCACCAAGTCCAGCAGAACCACAAAATTGGAATCCAGTTCTATCATTTCTGAAAGGATGATTCAAAGGGTCACGGGTTGTCTAGAGATGACAGTAAAAACAGATTAAAATTAACAAATATCCTTATTCTCATAAAATAATTAACCTATGATAGGTTTTGCCATCTAATAGACCTCACATAATAAAGTAGGACTTCCAAATACATGTAATCATAGTAGATCCATAGAAAATCATAGAATTTACTCAGTTCATGAATGAGTCTGTGGGCATCTTGTCCCAACAGATTTTAGTTAGCTTATTACAATATTTGTCACTAACCCTATTCATACAACTCTGGCTATTGTATGTAGACATAGAAAAGGGGGTTGTTCAAAAGTGGGGATACATTCAGGAAAAAAAACCTTTTCTTTTGAATAAATTTATATATTTTATCAGTTGGTGTTACAAAATGAATTCAGCTAAAGATCTTATTTGTGTGTTATTGGGGGATAATGTTTCTTTAGTATTTGGATCCCAATATATTCAGAACTGTAGAGGTAAATTCAGAATTATTCAGAGTAAGAGTAAGAACTATTCATTCATTCATTCAGTTTACACCTTTCCTTCCTACTTTTGCAAATATTCAAGATGGAGTAGTATTAATCTTGAAGAATTGGAGTGTTTCACATATTTACTGTCAAAATTACAATAGTGTAGCAAAATTCTGAACCAACTGAAGCTTTGATATTCTCAAGGGAAACCCAACATACAAACACTTTGCAGAGCAAAGATAGTTTACAACAGCATGAATATCAAATTGTAGGACTCCATCAGCACAATGCTCCCATTTTAAGTTTGTTTATTCTTACTATGATTGTACCCAGAATGAAATTCATCATGAAAGTGATCAATTGTGAGGACAGTTAACTCCAGCCCTTCAGATGACCCCACCCAACAAGTATACTTTTTTTAACATTGCAAAAACCTGATAGGCTGAATACCTTAAATTCAAAGTAAAATCCAATATTAATACGTTTTTCTGATTTTGCACAACTCACAAAGCTAATTATTTGGTTGGAATCAGCTTCATGACATAGTTCACATAGCACGTTACACTATGGTTTATTGATTTTAACCAAACTGGCTTCACACAATATGCTAAACCATAGACCATTGTAGGCTGGACTCACACAAGACAGCAAGCCAAAATCAAACAAGTTAGTATCTTCAACATTATGTATACCCAACCTATCCCTAAATGAAATGTGCAGAAAGAAGCTACATTAATATGAATCTTAAGCACAATTACAAAACACAAATTTTGTCTTTTAGCAATAGGCCTTAATGTACAAAAAATACAACAGCAATCGTTGAACAATGTAAAGAAGAATGAAAGATGGCATCCACTAATACAGACTCAATACTGCTTGCCTACCCAGTTAACTGTTCTAGTGAGAGACCTCTGTGTGAATTGCTAATCTCTAGAAAAAATGGTTTTGAATGAAGCTGACACAATGAAACGATTCTGTTCCCAGTCACCATTGTCCTATTAGAACAATAAGAGTTCTGGAAGTGCTATTGCATTCGTAATATTCCAGAGTAGAACCACTGCATTCTCATTTTTTCTTTATGTGCTCACTCAAGCCTAGCTGTTCATTTGTGTTGCAAATGCTGGCTTTTGTGTGCTCACAACACCATCTTGCATAAAACCCTGCAATTTTTCTTGCTATTTTGGTTACACAAACATACCATAAAATAACTGTTACATGTAGACAAGAGGAGCACTTGCATGGATGCAGAAGGTAAGTCAAGTATTTGCAAATATACCTGGCTTTGAGGATGTACAAACATACCAAACTCAAACTTTTCTCTCTCATATCAGCAAGGTAGACATGCTGTTTTACACTCAGATTGGAAGAACCGCTAACTGCTTGAAATTGACTATTGAACTGTCTTTTGCAACAACCCCATATAGAACTTTATGCATAATAACAACTGCAAAGCCATCGCTGAATTGTATTCTTTAGAATAGATTCTATAATGCTTCTTTGTGGTCATTATGTACAAAATCAAAACCATGTGGAAGAGTGGGGCTAGGTTTGCTGATCTTGCTGACTTATATTCTCAGCTGGGAGAACTTGTTTGCTTAACATCTGTAATTTCTGTCTGCAGTTTGGAACCCTGATCAAGTTTCAGTTAATAGAGGCTATAAGCTTCTTCGTGTCTGACCTAGGCAGCAATGCTAGGTAGATTCAAGGTTCTGTTATTATATTCTGCAACAATAAAGTAGCATTCTTCAATCTCTATGGTGCCTTTTTTTTTGACTGACCTACCTCAAAAAGCTTACAACAATCTTGAATGCCTGTCTAGGTTTTCTGTCTCATAGGAAACGAAATCAAGGCAGGTTATTTTGAGTTTCTTTTTCACACTTTAGCTCAGTCTTTGGGCTGTGTAACTCTTCTCCAAGACCCCTTGTAATGGCTCATCCCTGCCCTTCCCTTTTAAAAGTTCTTTATGTTTCACAGGGTACCCTTATGCATATATTATTTATTTCCAAAATCACATAGCAAGAGACAGTTGGGTGCATGTCCATGTCTCCCCAGACTGAATGCTGCTGTGTTTTGTTCTTGCATTCCCAAAAAGATGTGACAGAGATAAAATTGTTTGTTGCCCTCTGGCTATTCATAAAAACCACACTGGAAGTGGCCAGAGCTGCTATTGTGAGGGTTGCTACATTCCACTGATTAATTGATCAGATTAAGAAAGTAAACTCCTTTTTAACTGTGGAAAAAGTTGCTCCCCAATTCATCAGGTAGGTTAATCAGTCTTACCTATTATTTCATGAAAGATGTGGATGGCCAGAAGCACCTTAGAAGAGGCATCCTACAATATAGAAAGAAATGTTCTTCTGGAGATGCACCAACCACATCATTAAGTACATTGTCAAACAAAGAAAACTATGCCTTGTCCTTTAAATCTGGAAGCAAGTGTATTATGAAGGTGTCTCCTCTGACAGAAGATCATCTACTAGGATCCCATAACAGTGTTCTTAGGAATGGATCACTTCCTGTGGAAAAGTTTAACTCTAATATCCAGATTATTCCCCCTTGCCTGGTTTCTGAAGACTTTTGAAGACATGACTGTCAGGAAAGCATTGGGATAATGAGAATGAGGATTTTATCAGCAAAGCTATCAACTGATCAAAGAAATCATATCTGATTACTTGTAAGAGACTTTCTTCACTGTTTTATTATAAATAAATGCCAGTTTGTTTCCATTGGCTCCAAGAGGCTTGTATTAAGAAATATAAAACATAATTATAATAATCTAAGAAACAAATATTTCCTTCCTTGTTCAGCTCAGTGAGTATAAAGTAATTCCACTCCTCATTCCATCTCACACTTAATTGTGATTATCTGAGTCAAATATTCTTAACAAACTAAACCTTCCAACTTTGTCCAATATTCTCTAGATCTTTAAGTGTCTTTGCTTTTTTCTACATTATCTCCACCTCCTTGTGTAAAGCCAAACAAGATGCATAGCTTCCTTAAAGGGGTAACTAATGCTGAATACAGTGGAACATGTTTTAAATGTTTTTGTTTAATGCAACCCACATGACCAGTCTTTTTCATTATCTGCACAGTGAGATGTTACTTAGGACCAAATTAGTAATCAACAAATCTCTGTTTTTAGCAGTAGTTGTATAGTCTATTCAGATTCACAACCATGGAATAACAATTTTGCACAAGAGAGCACACCAAATAAGTTGCATTCTCTAGCTCTGTCATTTTTTAAAGAAAATTATGCTGAATTTAATCATTTTTATTTACTTTAAAACTAGAGACATACTCTTTCTGCTTAATTAATGTTCCTTTTCCTTATTCATGGTTACATGTCCATTTTTAATAAAGTGAGGTTGATCTTAATTCTTTCACTCACTCCTGATTAATATTCAAGTAAGAACTTTAGAAAAATGGAACCCTTAGGTTTTATGTGGGGGCAGTTTTGTGGAGGCTGAAAACACTTTTGTTTCTATGCGTAGAACACCCATAATTTTTTTTCCAATTAATCTTCCCACATCCATCCCCATCTCCCACTTCTAGCGTTGAAAAGCTGTTCTTGTAAGTTGTGGTATTCTTTGGAACAATGATGGATAATGGTACAGGAAATATAGGTAGTTGGGAATCACATATATATAGTTCAGTGCATACAAATATGGTTTGTCTTACATAAACTGCAAACAGTTTTCACCAAGCAAAGCCATCTTGCTTACAGCTTATTTAGCAGTTTGCCAAGTGTGAAATGACTTGGAAGATACAGGTGAAAGTTGCAAACTAGTGTGCACCTACTTAGAATTTAATTCTAATTTTAAAAGTGTGAGACTTAAGGACCAGATGTTTGATTTGTTCATTCCAGAAAACCCCACCACCAATTAGTCAAAAGTAACTAAAGACGGATTACTAACTATGAAAAAAATTAAACTAATGCTGAGAATGGCCAGTGTTAAGTTCAACAGGAAGGCAGCTACAGCAACTGTGGAACACTAAGCAACTAGTCAGGTAAGAGCTACCCTCAATGCATTATTATTGCTATTTTAAACACATTATTCTTTGGTGCCAGAAGAAAAAAAGTGCATTTTTCCCACTAGTTGTCATTCAATTTGATGAAAAGCATCTGCTTTCAAAATTCTTCCAAAGGAAAAGAGCATTTCAGGTAACTTCTTTAGAATGGAATGTGGTCATGCATCCTTTTTCAGTGGTCTGAAGTTAACTGCTTCCCTTACTTCAGTTGAAACCTAAGAGGACACCTCAGGTAGGAACTTTCTCATACAGCTTTTTCCACATCAATGAGATCAGACCACTGTCACTGCTAAAGGGGAGCCTTACTCTTAATGGATATGTTCTTCTGAAGAACTTCAGAAACAGTGCCATCCAGGTATTCTAATCCACACATTCACTGAAGAATTACAAAAGAACACTTGTGCCCAACTCAACTAAACATCTCTAGTAGGGCATTTGGAAGATCTTCCTGTTAAGAAATACCAGATAGAGGAACACATAGTAACAGAAGTTTCCATACTCATTACCACGTGCCTTGCTCAGATGACTATGGAACCTACAGTAGAACAACCCAAGAGCATGGAGTCAGTAGTGAGAAAAGATATCTTGGCCAAGAGAGCTAAGGCCAACTTTCCCTACCTGAATGGACCTAGAGACAAAATAATGGAATTCAGAAGAATGTGAGCCTTTATTAAAGACAAATGTTCTTTGCACTGCATATCTCAGCCAAATTTTAACGTTTACACTGGAATCAAAATCAGAGACTTCTAAATAAGCCTGAATGGCTTCTCACCTCAGCATTAACAGCAAGGGCTATAGCCTGCTGTGAACGTGCCCTTCTATTCCCTCAAATGATTATTAATGACAATAGTGTTTTTATGGCATCCTTTACTGCACTGCTGAGAGGTGCCCTAAGGCAGAGATGTTCAAACTGACTTTTTGGTGGTCTCACTTTGCAGCCATCAGGAACTATTAACTGTGCTGTTTGTTCCAATAACTTGATCAGAAGTACAAGGGGCTTTATAAGATTTCCTCTGTCAACAGTTACCTAGACTAATTTGATGTCTTGGTTTGTATTTTGTATGCAGGACTGAATAATTGTTCCATTTTCCTAAAGGCAGACCTTGGTAACTGCTTACTGACGTAAAGATCTGCCATAACTTTGGATGATATCATAGTGTCACACTTGGCTCTTGCTGGTTTGCCGACAAGATCCACCTAATGTTACCACCTGCTACAAAAGAGCATAAACCTTACAGCATGAAGATATACAAACAATACAAAGTAAAAGAAATCACAGGACAGCAATGCTTTTAAAAACTTTTGATGCTGGGAACATGAACAAGTACTTGTTTGGAATCTGGCTCCAGGCCAAGCTGCAGGCTAATTCATACTCTAGATAGCATTAGAACTATCCAGTTCTTTGCCATGTTAAATGCTTAGAAAATCCTTCCCTAATTTAACACTTTCCAATTGCCTTGGAATTAGGCAATACACTGACTGGGTATTAGGCTGACTGAGAAAAGTAAAAATTGTAGGATAACAAGCTGAAGGAGATAAGATTAGAAAAAAGGTAATGTCATACTAATTGTTTTGAAAATAACAGAGTAACCATTTCATTAGTACTTAGATTTCATGAGTTACAAGGACCTGTTATGGACATAAAAAAAATACCATTGTTTAATATTATGTTCCTGGTCAAAGATCAGGCAGAAGAAGCCCACCTTTTCTATTCTGGCTGAAAAACTATTTCAAGATAATGCTTCTTGTTTAAGCCTACCACATTTTGTATATATTGTATATGAACTGCACCTAAGTGTAGCTGGCTTAAATTGTGGTTTACTGAAACAGTCCAAGATTCAATTATAGTTTCTAGGCTTCTCAACAAAATAGTTTTCTTTAAAAAAAAAACCCTACAATTTTCAGCTCAGGTATAATGAGAAATTGCAGTTAATTTATGTTTTAAAAAATTCTTGTTGGTTCTTTGGAGGAAGAAGGAGAATTCAGTCTTCAGGCTTGAGCATATTTATTCCTGCAGTGTCGAAGTATTCTCATAAAACTATGAATATGCATCGAATCATTGGAGAATACAACTCTGGAGATTCTTTTTGTTGCTTGTTTCATTTGTTATGACCCTAGGATCAGACTTTTCTTTTCAGAGGATGAAGCTATACAGAGGAATCCTCGAAACAGTAGCGAATAAGTAAGTAGAGAGTAAGTAAGTAAGTAGAGAGTAAGTAGGCAGTAGAGAGAAAGCAGAGCTGCTTAACTCATTCTTTGCATCTATCTTCATGCAAACAGGAACTATAGCCCAACTTACCAAAAACATAACTTTAAAAGGCAAACTAGAAATAAAAATTAAAATAAGCAAGAAAATGGTAAGAGAACACCTGTCTGATTTTGATGAATATAAATCACCAGGCCCTGATGGATTACAGAGTTCTGAAGAAGTTGGCAGATGTTATCTCAGAACCATTGTACCATATCTTTCAAAAATCCTGGAGCACCAAGGAACTACCAGAGGATTGGAAAAGAGCTGATATGGTTCCTATCTTCAAAAAATGGGGAAAAAAACAGACCCAAAAAACTACAGACCAATCAGCCTAACATCAACACTTGGGAAGATACTGGAAAAAAATAAAAAACAAATCTGTGAACATCTAGAAACAAGTTATAACTAGTAGCCAGAATGCGTTTGTTAAAAACAGATCTTTGCCACAGTGACCAGGTTAGCAGACCAAAGAAATGCTATGGACATAGTATACTTAGACTTCAGCAAGGCATTTGACAAAGTAGACCACAACCTACTTCTTGGAAAACTAGAAAAATGTGGGATACACAGCATCACCACCAGATGGATTTGTAACTGACTGACAAACCGTACTCAACGAGTAGTCCTTAAAAGCAGTCTAAATGCTTTTGCTCCATATCTGTTCTTAAATAAAATCCATAGCACAAATGACTTTGGATTCAGAATCAAATAGGACCACAAGCATTACAGATTTCATTTCAGATAAAATTTTTACCCTATCTTGTGTTGAACCCTCCCCGCACCATATTCTTAGGTATAAGCAATGTGAAAAGAATATGGAGATAGAATGATTTTATACTCTACATTGGGAAATGTCAGATCACATAAAGCAAAGGTGTCAAACTTGCAACATCATGTGACGTGTCACAACATATCGCAACTTTTTTTGCCATTGCCGGCAATGGGGTGGGCGCAATTTTGCTATGATGCATTCGGCCCACGGGCTGGCAGTTTGACACCCCTGACATAAAGCATCAGAACAGCAGCTATATTTGCAGATTAATTTCAATTGAATGAGACATTGTTTCCAATTGTTTGGATTTCCTGGTTTCTACATAGGCTGTAAGAAGCATGTGGTCCTATGTTCACATCATACTTCAAAACATCTCAAACCTGGAGTCACAATAGCTGCCGTGTTCTCTGCTATACTTCAGTACCAACATTATAGGTAGCTACCAATTTAGTAAGTGTCATGGCTGACCCATTACGCACCCCACTTACAACCAAACAACAGAAACAGGGAGGGGGTGGGCAGGTATTGGAATGCAAGGGAGGCTTGGGAGGGGATTGTGGAATGCAAGAGAGCCAACTGTCTCCTGGCAACATCCTAGTGCCCAAGGTTAAATGATGAGAAAGCTCCAAGATGCTCAGACTGTTTCCCCAAACAAAATGACTATAATTGATTGGTGGACAGTGAACAGTGGGTGGCCCAGGGAAGAAAAGGGGATTTTACCTCTGCTGTTTCAAGCGCAAAAACTTCAAAACTGGCTTTGCTTCCTCTGTGCCTATGTGGAATTATCAGTAAAGTTACACTCTTGGTAAAATAATGTCCCAGGAATTTCTTTTGTTGCATTTGCCAATGGGACGGTTGACAGTAAGACTCAGATGATTTATAGAACTAATTGCATTTAATGCTAGAAACTTGTTGATTGTATTGTAATTCTTCTGTAAGCTGTTCCTCCAGGCACCCTTGCTTGTCCTCATATATATTTATTTATATGGACATTATTTATATGTCACATATCAAATTAAGTTTCCAAAGCATCCTTCAATAGAAGAAACATATGGCATTAATACAAAAACACTAAGAATAATTTAACAGACAAATAACCCATATTTGTTGGGTGCCAAAAGAAAGCAAAGAATCCTATGGCATCATAAAGATTAACAAATTTGGCATAAGATTTTGTTTAAATAAGTGTGTATGTGGGAGGGTTGAATCATATAATATTATTTCCCAACAGTATCTATACATTTATTTTGTAAAACAGATAAATAATCCCTACATATACTCTGAAAAAGTAAGAGTTTATGCAATTTATAGTACAACCCTATGCATTTACTAAGAAATAAATTCCACTTTAATTAGATTATTCTCTTGTGTATATACTTATATTTGACTATCACTTTTTAATCAAAAATATTAATTCTTGTTGTAATTTTTTCTTTTCTTTTCCTAAGTCTTCCCATTACGTGGGAATTTGTTAACATATACTACAAATGTCAAAAACACCCTAATGTAATTTGATTGTTTCCTTTAAATTAATAGAATATTTACCTAAAGGATTTTTGAGTATTTTAAGAAGAGGAATTATGTATGTGTATTTCTATGTTCAAGTAGTACTCCAGATGTTTTGGGATTGCACCCAATGTACCTATCACTACTGGTATTATCTTTGTTGTATTTTGCCACCATCGTTTTACTTCTATTTGGTGGTCTTTGTATTTGTAAATGTCTCCAGTTCGTTCTCTTTATTCTTCTGTCTCCTGGTACTGCCATATACACTATTCAGATTTTTTTCTCTTTCTTATCAACAACTGTTAAATTTGTTATATGGCAAGTGCTTGTCTGTTTGAATTCCAAAGTCTCAGAGCACTTTAGCGTCTTCATTTTCTATTACTTTGTCTATTTTGTAGTCTCACCAGTTGTTGCAGGCAAATGGTATTCTTGCAGGTATT